AAATTATTAAAACATAGGAGACTAGCACCTTGGTATAACCACCAAACCCGCCAGTTAAAACAAATAGCTAGAAAATCTGAAAGGAAATGGCGCTCTTCCAAATTATCAGAATATCGCTCAAATTGGCAAGATGATCTTAAGATTTATAGAAAGGCCCTCCGTAATGCCAGAGGAGCCTATTACTCAGCACTAATAGAAGAAAATAAGAACAACCCTAGGTTCCTCTTCAGCACTGTAGCCAGGCTGACAGAGAGTCACAGCTCTATCGAGCCACATATCCCCATAAACTTAAGTAGCAATGACTTCATGAGCTTCTTCTATAATAAAATTATTACTATTAGAGAAAAAATTAATCACCAACTGCCATCAACAGTTATCAGTGGTTCTCCAAGTTCAGGGACTTCTGTAAATGTAAACTTAGATGTATATTTAGACTGTTTTTCTGCTATCGATCTTCATCAGTTAACTTCAATCATTTCTTCATCGAAGCCATCAACCTGTCTATTAGACCCGATCCCAACTAGGCTGCTTAAAGAAGTTGTTCCCTTAATTGGCACTTCTTTACTGGATATGATTAATCTTTCTTTATTATCAGGATATGTACCACAGTCCTTTAAAGTAGCTGTAATTAAACCCCTTCTTAAAAAGTCCACTCTTGACCCAGGGGTTTTAGCCAACTATAGACCGATTTCTAACCTCCCCTTCCTCTCTAAGATTCTGGAGAAAGTAGTCGCCAAAGAGTTGTGTGACTTTCTACATAACAATAGTTTATTTGAGGATTTTCAGTCAGGATTTAGAGTTCATCATAGCACAGAGACAGCTCTGGTTAAAGTTAATAATGACCTTCTGACTGCTTCTGACAATGGACTTGTCTCTGTACTTGTATTATTAGATCTTAGTGCTGCATTTGACACCATTGACCATGATATTCTTTTACAGAGACTTGAGCATCAAATTGGCATTAAAGGAACTGCCCTAACCTGGTTTAAGTCATACTTATCAGATCGTTCTCAGTTTGTACATGTTAACGATGAATCCTCCATAAATACTAAAGTTAGTCATGGAGTTCCACAAGGTTCTGTACTTGGACCAATACTATTTACTTTGTATATGCTCCCTTTAGGCAACATTATTAGGAATCACTCCATTAACTTTCACTGTTATGCAGATGATACGCAGTTATATCTATCAATCAAACCCAATGAAATTAATCAATTATCTAAATTACAAACATGTCTTAAGGACATAAAATCCTGGATGACCTGCAATTTTCTGATGTTAAACTCAGAAAAAAACGAAATTCTTGTTCTTGGCCCCAAAAACCTTAGAGACTCATTGTCTAAAGATATAGTCACTCTAGATGGCATTAACTTGGCCTCTAGCACCACTGTCAGGAATCTTGGAGTTATCTTTGATCAGGATTTGTCATTTAACTCCCACATAAAGCAGACCTCTAGGAATGCCTTCTTTCATTTACGTAATATTAGAAAAATTAGACACATACTATCACAGACAGATGCAGAAAAACTAATCCATGCATTTGTTACTTCAAGGCTGGATTACTGCAACTCTTTATTATCAGGTTGCCCCAATAAGTAAAAAATTAAAACGCTCCAATTAATTCAGAACGCTGCAGCACGAGTACTGACAGGAACTAGAAAAAGAGATCACATCTCTCCTGTACTAGCTACTCTGCATTGGCTCCCTATAAAATGTAGAATTGAATTTAAAATCCTCCTCCTCACCTATAAAGCTCTTCATGGTCAGGCCCCTTCATATCTTAAAGAGCTCATAGTACCCTATTACCCCACTAGAGCACTACGTTCTCTGAATGCTGGGCTACTTGTGGTTCCTATAGTCTCTAAAAGTAGAACAGGAGCCAGAGCCTTCAGTTACCAAGCTCCTCTCCTGTGGAACCAGCTTCCAGTTGTGGTTCGGGAGGCAGACACCCTCACCACATTCAAGAGTAGGCTTAAGACATTCCTCTTTGATAAAGCTTATAGTTAGGGCTGGATCAGGTGAGTCCTGAACCATCCCTTAGTTATGCTGCTATAGGCCTAGACTATCGGGGGATTTCCCATGGTGCACTGAGCTACTCTCTTCCTCTCTCTTTCTGCACTCATTCATGTCCCTTTAATGCATGTTACTAACTCCACTTCTTCCCCGGAGTTCTTGTGCTTTCTCGTCTCGCAGGTTCTCATGGATCCTGGTGGAGCCTCCTGCCATGGTCCTGCTTGACTGCCATTGCCAATACTGTTGTTGCTGTGCACCTGTCTGTCTGTCTGTCTCTCGCTCTCTCTTTCTGCCTCTCTCTCTCTCTCTCTCTCTCTCTCTCTCTCTCTCACCCCAACTGGTCGAGACAGACGACCACCCACCTAGAGCCGGAGGATCTGTCCTAGGTTTCTGCCTTTTAACAGGCAGTTTTTCCTTGCCCTTGTCGCCAAGTGCTTGCTCATGGTGGTACTGTTGGGTCTCTGTAATTAATGTTAAAGAGTTCGGTCTAGACCTGCTCTATTTGAAAAGTGTCCTGAGATAACTTCTGTTATGAATTGGCGCTATACAAATAAAATTGAATTGAATTGAATTGAATTCACACAGACTGTTGATTTCAGTACTAGTCCAGGACCATGGGGGACGACAAAGACAAAGAGTAAACGCTGTGATAGTATTACGTGACATTGTTGGTTACACTGACCTGACTTTACTTGTTACACATGAAGTGTCAAATGATTCTACAAAAAATTCTCATTTTTCAACAACAATGTAATAAGATACTATATTGTTTTATTTGACATGCCAAACATCAAAGTTAAAATATGAATTGTTATTAACTCTGCTACTTTTCTCCAAACTCCAAGTGATGGACAGCTGCATAAACGTGTTGTAACCCAAACAAATTGCTATCTGAAAATGTAAAAATAAAACACTCTAACAACCTTGATTCTATCTCACAGGGCAAAGCTAGTGCTGACGTCGCTGCGAAGGCCGCAGCCGAACAATGTACTGCTTTGACTAACTCGCAATTAACACCTTTAAATTTGCAGGAATTGCAGGCAACAGAGGAACTCCAGAGAAAGCGCTTTAATTCACTAACAAAGTGTGGCAAGTGCCATTTACCAAAATATCTATTTCCCTACTATCATAGGTTGACACATGGGAAGGTCCAAGTGTCAAAAGGGGGTATGGTGAGGGAAATACAGAAATATAGTTTCATAAAGGTTCTTAAATTTCTCCCATAAATTTTGCCAGTTGTGTTATTTGTGTATGTCTAACAAACTGATTTCAAACATAACAAACATCGTGCCTAACAAAAAAGAGAAAATAGGACAATAGAAAACAAATTTGCGAAATGTTGCATAGGAACAGGTTTGACGTGGACAAAAAGCACTACTAATTGTTTTAATGCACACAAGGGCCAGAGTAAGGAACAGAAGTGGTCTCAGCCCATTGAAATCCTATTTGGTAGACTACTAAACACTGGGATTGGTCCTGTTAAAAGTAAAAAACTCCCTGACACCGGTCAATGGAAAGATGAAATGCTGTGTTATTGTGCAAACATGTCCCCTGTTCTTATATCCACAAGCAGGTGAAAGAAGCCATACCAAAGGCTGCTGAGAAAAACTCTACGACCAACACCAGGCGATGGGATCGTGATGAAGTTACTCCTCACAATAGAAACAGCAGTAAAGGTCCCTGAGAGAGCAACTTGGATCCATGGCAGCCACTGCAGACTTCCAGAACTGACATGAACATCAATCGTGCATCAATATCAGGAAAGCCAAAGAATAGGGCAAAAAAGGGAGATGCTACCAGCATCCCTGTTAGTCCAACCAAACCTGAGACAGCGTGTCTCGGTAGACAGCTGCATCAAGCAAAGAAACCAGTCCAACGAGCGAGGGGTGAAACAGCGCCCTCCTCCACCAGTAGCATGCCAAGCTCCAACAAAGTGACGTGCAGAGTGAAGTTCTGTGTCACCTACCAGGGATCAGCGATGGAACCCAGATCCTCGAGAACGTTTCATATAACATGACTAATGATGTTTCTCACTATAATGACTTCCTGCATGAAGAGGAAAGTAAGGACTGTCGGGCTCCTGAAGGATGGAGCATATGTGCCTGACTGACCACAGGTGAATTTTAGACTACACTGGTAAAAGTGTTGAGACCTTTGATTACTATCTTTGTAATGTATAATACTTTGAGATGTTGTATAATCCCTTACACTAAAGCTCTAATTATCACTGTGGTTAAATCTTTGTTAGTATGTGTGAATTCCAGCAAGAATCTCCACATCTTTACAATAGATCCGATTTGAATGAAGTGTAATCAGATTTTGTCTTATTTATATTCCTTATTTCTACTATCTTTGTAAAAATCACTCATAATTATATCACATAGATTTATCATACATAACCCAAATGACTGCTAATGATAAAAAACTCTTGATTGATTTTTTCCTATCATCCATGGATATTTTGACTGTTTAGTTCTTAAAAAATATTTTGTGAGCTCAAAGGGAGGAATGTAATGGCAATTTTTATGAACCTATACAACCCTTTGACCTGGTCATTGTAAAACCATACGCAACTGTTAAAGAGGCTATTATATGCATATAACCTTTAGCCCTATTTCTATCTACACTCTACGTCCAAGTAAACAGCGGAATGTTGAGACTTCACAAAGAAGCCAAGGACATGATCATCTCACCACACTATCCATCTGTTTACTGTCCCAGAACTCAGGAATGTTAGGAATTTTGAAAAACACTTATACTTATAGACCTTTGTAACCACCGTTAATCAAGTTTGGTGTGGCAGAATACAGTTTCATCACTCCTCCTAGAATAGCAGGAAGAGTCACCCATTACGTAATGATGTTTCTCAGAGCATATAAAATGTAAAAAATATCGTGGCATAAAATTTTCATTGCAGTTATCGTCTCCAAATGATAAATCCTAAAATACCATGTAGTGTTTTTTATCAGTGTTTTTAAATTACTCACTCGGAGACTGCAGATTAAGAGACACAACGAAGCGCACTATGGCCATGATAGTCAGGTTCATGATGCTTGCGATGCCGAAGAAGAACCCTGCCAGGCCATAATATGTACAAGTAATGTCTCCCCCGAGCCAGCGGTGGCTCCATGCAGAGGCCACTGCCAGGGGGTACATAGTAATAGCTGCTCCCAGGTCTGTCACTGCCAGATTCACACTCAGCAGCTCCGGCGGCTTCATCCTCGATGATTTTTTGACGGCCATGATGATGACCAGCAGATTTCCCAGAATGGAGAGAACAGCTAAAACACACAAGAGGAGACAGAGAGGGGAGGAAAGAGGGATAGAAAATAGTTTGAGGGTATGATGATGTGAAAAATATATGAGTAGAACGAAACACATGTTTAAAAATACATCTTATATAACCAGGGTGCGAACTACAGAGGAGTCAGGGGAGCTTGGCTCCTCTTAATAAGACATGAGCTCCCCTGAAAACATGATTTATGAAATTTTGGGGGCTCTCTAAAATATTGACAACATGCTTTTTTTTTGCCATGCTTTTCTATTTTTTCTGAATCTTGGATGGATGGATGGATCATGTGTAAAATTAGGCTATTATTGATGAATGTATGTATGTATGTATGTATGTATGTATGTATGTATGTATGTATGTATGTATGTATGTATGTATGTCATTAACTGACACAAAGCAAGCAGGCCTACGTGATTGCAGCTATGACTGAAATAAAAAACTGAGCTCTCCAAAAAACCATGGTATGGTTCGCACACTGTACATAATTGATGTCTTTTGATTGCATACCACGTCTCTGTGGTGAATTACATCATGCTTTTCCTCTTGTATGTGACAAAAGCTGAATAGTTTCACAACAACAAACCTCACAAAAGGATCTGCATTTACAGGCCTTGATTGGCTCATCGGAGCAGTGGTTTAAATGGTTTAAATGGAGGACGGGGAAAGAATTGCACACATTATTATCAATTAAATTCACAAACTGGCTGATTTCGGTGTACTCCCATTTTCAGGATGAACGGATTCCTGTTGTTCTGTGTTGGGTAATGTCGCCCCTATAGCCAAAACTAAAAGGACAATTGCCAAACATAAAATAAGACAGAGCTTTAACTCAAGTTTAGAAATGTCTGTTACACTGTTACAGGGTTAAATAGAGTGGATGTGAGGGGTTATAACATCATTAATTCTCCCTCATGGGACAGGCTGCTGACATTCCATGGGGCAGCCAAGGCCACTCCGTAACTGGTTTAGGATGTAAATTAAGGAGTGAGCCCCCAGTCCTCTGTTTGTTTTGGACGGTCATTAACTTGAGCAATCCAGGATAAAACAGCATGTGCTCCTTCTGACCTGACACACAGAACGACACAGAATGAACACACATTGACCAAAGGGGGCACAGAGCAGTCATGTATGAAAGGGTGAAAGTGTAAAGCAAACTGGATGGAGGTTGGGTAGGTTGCCTAGAAGCCAAGAGAAGAGGCACCCATTCAGTAACACATTTTATATTTTATAGTACAGAAGCCCCCAGGATAGGTGTTACAGATTTTGGCTTCTGACCCACAGTTTCATCTCCCTTATTGCTTTAGATGAGAAGACTGATACCACTCTCGTGTCTGTCTGGTAACTATGAAGCTACAGCAGGCATAGCTCAGCCTAAAATACAGCTTGGTTTTGTCCAGAGGTAACAAATCAACCTGCCAGCACCTCTAAAGCTCACTAAACAACAAGTTATATCTGTTAGTATAACTGACGAGTTGTGGTTTCATGGGCTGGAGTATTTCTTGGCTGTGTGCCCCTGGTGGACTCTGGCTGTTTGATGGGCAGAGCTGTAAAAAATAACAAGGGCATCAGCGTGCTGAACGGTTTTGATGCATTTATGGTGAAACAGTTCAGTCAGGGTTTGGATGGAGCAATTTATGGGGGCATCCAAGAGGGCACTTTTGTTGCGTTTTTTGAACATAGAGGCTTCGACCCGAGTCCATCAGTGCTGGATGCTGTAACTTCCTGGATTCAGTCAGCAAGTTAAGACTCCAGAAAATAGCATAGCACCCAGCCAAGAAATAGTCCTCCCCAATTCCCCTTATAATACTATAACTTTCTACAGATAAAACAAGAAATAATGTGTTACTATTTCCAGTCTTTATGCTATGCTAACGTAACCAAGCTGTATGAGACCAGAACCTCTGTAAGTGTGTTAGTAAGTGTCGGTCAGTCGATACATTTTCTTAACAATTGTTGTTTATTCAGTGGACATGCACACAGTTAAATAACCAAAGTTTGAATATCATTGTATCTCAAGCCACCGACTCTTCTGCAGAATCCTGCCACCTTGGGAGGAGGCATGTGGGTCACTCTCAGTCTGTAGCATTTCTAATTCAGTAAGCAGAGTCTGGAACCTTTCCAAGATCTCATCTTCTTTTTATCTCCAGGTTCCAGAGCCTCCCCACACAAAGCATGTCAAGTATGTAAGCCTCGAAGGGCTCACAGGTTATCTACTATGTGGATGCATAAATGAAACATTCCTTCATATCCATAACTGTCTACCACATGGACCAAACCGAGTCACCAAACTGATTTGGATGCTAACAAAGTAATTGTTTAACTTTTTATAATTAGATTTCAGTTTCTATTGAAAATTGCTGTAGTGGATGCTAACTTGTCTTATATAGTTTATATTATATGGTAATATGGAATATAGAGCGACTGCATTAAGTGACATTGGCTGGTGGAACAGAGGTTAGCCCAGACGTAAGGACAAGCATTTCCCCAAAAGATCTTTAAGATGGTTACACTGAATCAAAAAATTTAATTATATCTAAAGCATATTTAGAGGGAAGAAAAACAGAATAAGAGGAAGGAAGAGAAATGACTCATAAGACTGTGATTAGTAGAAATTGAAAAAGTTCTCTTTTGTTTTGTTCGGAACAGGAAATTGGTTATGGTTAAATTATTAGTTTATTACTTCTGTCGCTGTCTGTGCTTGACCTCGCCTAACTACCCTGCACAGCAGGCAGGGTTGTATTCCTCAGGTTGACACCTCATCTCACACCAGACCTGAGAGAAATGTAAATTTATACTGTGAGACAGGGAATACAATCAATCCCATTTCCAGAATGAGAACACTAGCCCCATGGAGTGCAGAGAGCACCCCGTTTTATCTTTACATTTTTATAGGTACAGTCATCTCAGTCCACATGACTGTCAGTAATGTATGGAGCATAACCCTGGGGACTTTGCACCTCCTCTTAAAGTCAGCCTGTCTGAAGGAGAAGCTTTATATGTGACTGAACATCTGCTATTGCATCAATATTCTCTGCTTCAGGTGTATAGTATAGTAGTAACTGCATGTTTTACTAGTGAAATTACTTTAGACATTTATGTTACCTTTCCCAAAGCAATAAACCAGCTGGGATTCAATGTGTGTAAATCCCACATTCTGACACCTTCATCAAAAAAGGAGTAAATTAATATGCCAACTAAAATGCCTCTGAAATAATACACTTTTGTTCTTTTATGTGTAGCTTAATGTTCTGCTAAAGTATTGTTGGAGTACACAAGCGCGCTACGTTCACGGCTCATCCTAATTAGCAGATAGAAAATATATGCCTCCAACACTGAGACAGACTCCTTTGCTCTTTCCCAAAACTAAATAAACCAGATACTACTTAAGTACAAAGCCCAGTGACCCAATCAGCTTCCACCTCCCTGATAATCACTTTCATTGATGTGCAGCCGAACCAGTTGCTCTCACAAGCCAATACAGAATCAATAGAGACACCTCAAGTGACCCTCACTGCTTAGGTTTATAAGGAAAGTAGGTCTTTGACAGCCATATGGGCACTATCTCACCGAGTACAAAGATGCAGAAAAAAAAAACAAGTTATATGCAGCGAGTGTGAAAAAAAGGTTATGAAACTCAAAATATGTGACTCTCTCCTAAAACTAATGCTACATTATCCACTTCCTAAGCATAATTTGCTTCCTGCTATTAAGTCTAGGGAATCCTAATTTGTTACCTCTTAGTTTAAGGTAAGCAGAATGGGGGGCCACACACACACAGTGATGTGACATTAACCATGTTTGACATACAAGAAGTCACACAAATATAATTTTATGAACATTAACCAAACCCAAACATAATCACGAGGTGTACAAGAGGGCAGAGATCCATAGTGTGTCTAATGTATTTATGGCTGAGTGAAAATGTGGTGTGATGAGTTGGAAGAAGGCGCAACCATTTTATATTCTAAGAAAAATAGATAGATAATTGAGGCATATAATCCTAACAAGGCTCAATAATGGTCTACGGGTAATATTGACTGGAGAGGGATTACATGACAGAATGTGGAGGGAGCAGGGGGCTGGGGTGGGATAGATAGATAGATAGATAGATAGATAGATAGATAGATAGATAGATAGATAGATAGATAGATAGATAGATAGATAGATAGATAGATAGATAGATAGATAGATAGATAGATATCATTCTCTAAAATTAAAATGAATGTATACAAATATATTCATGTTTTAAAGCAATAAATATCAATATTTTGATCTTAAAACCTGAAAAACAATTCATCTCGTAGCTCATTTTGTTTCTGATTTTGCCAAGCCGTACTGAATGACGTATAAGGAGAGCAGTGTGCATTCATGTTCAAAAACCGTATTGTCTTTTTGCACTTTTAGTGACTAAGGAGATGTTATGCATGTGTAACATATTTATGTATTTATCCATCATTTTTTTATTTAGGTGGCCACCTCGTCTTAACATGAATTAAATTCAAAAGGCAGGCCATAGAGGGTGCAGAAGCATCAGAAAAGGCGGAGGGTATTGCTTTTTTTCTTTTGCCTGACTGTGAGGTAGCCTGATTTTTTTTGGGAGCGGAAAATGTTTCTTTATTTCAGCCTTCCTCAACAATTGATAATTACATAAACAGTTATTTTATGTATATTATGGTTATATGGATTTGTACTTTGGCGGCACACATTAGAAGTTTCATTAAGATATTATGGTTTGTATTGGGGTACACTAATTTAACATTGTTATGTTATGTTATATATGTTATATCATTTTGACATGCAGTGGGGCGGGTGTTGTAGTTCAAAGTCAAGAGATCAAGAGATTCAAAAAAAGCATTAATTATCCTAAGGAGGGCCTTGCTTTTTCAAAGTGAAAAATTAGGTTTAACTCCCCCTCACCACACAAGTCATTTTCGGACAATCCCACAAAATGTCTCCTTTTGACTGAAATGCTCATATTTGTGACTCTGTGATGTGACTATTAGTTTCATCATTCTGTCTCACTTTTGTGTAATTGGTGCAAGGCATCTGAGAAGAGGTTTGCCTCCTCCTAATGACCTGAATCAGAGCAGTCACATCAGCACTGACATCCCACTTTATTCCTGTGCTAATGAGAGAGCAAGTGTTGTGCATGCATCCTGTGTCAGTAGCAGATAATTGCAATGAGATGACGCATGTAATATCGCAGCATAACAGAAAGGTACTCACTGGAAAAGCCACAACAAAGTGTGAAATAATGTAATGTATGCTTCAGTATTCGTCAGTACTATGAAATATTGAGAATATAACAACATTTGGATTTCACCAGATTTACACAGGAATAAAACAGCAAGATTTATCTAGAATTCACGCCTTTCCCCTTTTTTTTAAATAGATGTTTTGCTTGCAGTATTTATTATCTTTCCCCTAACAACCTCTCTCACACTTACAGTGTTGTATATACAGTATACTATATGCCACCACAGATCATCAAACACAAAATTCATCTCATAGTATTCTTGTTTTTTTCTGCAAACATACTGTATCACTAAAAATATTTTGTCTTATGTTCATATAACTGCACACTCTGATCTCTCTTATGTTTAAGTTTAAACCTGTGTCTTATGTCATCTTGGACAATATGTCATATTGCACCAAAAGGTAAGTTCTTCAGCATCTGTTAATAATCTTAGTGTACATTTCCAAATAATGTCTGATTTATTTGAATGTAAAACGCAGTCCTCAGGATGACCACACCAGCTCCTTTGTTCCATTATTAGTTGTGATGTTGTTCGTGAACCATTATCATTTTTCTGTCTTTTTTTTAATAAATGAATACAAGACAGAATAATAAGATGATGCTACAAATACAATGCAGAAATGTCTCTTTACTAATAACATTAAGACCCAAGCACGATGAGACTTTTGTACATTGTGCTGGTCCCCAACATAAAAACACATGTTTCAATATAAATGAAATGCTCACGACACATGTGTAATAGTATTCGATGTTTTTACATTATTTAAGGCTTTTATACTAAGCATAATGTAAAATTATAGTATTCTGGAAATTGTAAGGTACAAATACCAATTATAGGTCAACACATTGCTAAATCTGGCTGAATTATAAGACAGAAGCAGGCTTGGAAAAGCCCCCAAATTAAGATATTTTAACTCAAAACATTACGTTACAGTGGCATAAATACCTAAAGGTAGCATTAGGAATGAATAAATTGTTTTATTTCCAATACTTCAGAAATACTACATATACTAATCACTTAGTGTAAAATGTGGTCATAACAGATCATTAAATTAATATTGATTAACTATTAATATATAATAGTTAAATCTGACAGAATTTGACAACAAACTGAGGCATTTTTTAGTGCTGGCAGCTGTCACCCCATGCCCCCCCCATCTAGATTTGCCCCTGGCCAGAAGTGAAGTTTGAGAACTGAAAGAGCTGGGCTTAGCTGATCCAAATTATCTGGATCATTAAAAAATACCCAGAATCCTCATCACTAATTAGAAGAAACAAATCAACCTAACAATGTGGAAGTGTTATCACATGATAGATCCTGCACCAGGGTCAGCAGCTTGCTTTTTGGCCTGTTTACGCCGTCTGCTTGACCAAATCCACTATCATCCATCTTTCATTATTACATTAGATTATTGTAAATCTATCAATCTGTCTTTGGTTGTTGAGTAGATTATACTACCTTATGATTTGTACATCATATGACTTATGAAGTTCCAGAAAAATATCCTGTGTGAAATAGAAGGAGGACAACTGCAGTGTCTGCCAGTCAGACCAATTGTTAACTGCACGAATCATTCATTGTAGCTAAGAGCTACACAAGATTAAGGCTGGCTTTAATGTCAGATATATAACATTGCAATGAATGTCAGAAACATACATGAATACATCATTACAGTTATATCACAATATCTCACAGCAGGCTGAAACACCCTGCTGTGAATGTGCCCTGTGTGTATAAAATCCACTAGACTAATTGCTTATTAGTTTTCCTTCTTAATAGACCACATGAAGGCTCCTAATGTATCTTTTAATTTCGCTTAGCTCAGTTACCGCACATTGGACACTGCATAATTAGATTCTGTCCCTTTGGAAGAAAATTGCACTGATTTACACTCATCCTCTGCACTCCAACCTTAATCATGAGCCTTGCATGACTAACTCTAACACACACAGTGATTGCCAAACACAAATGAGCTACTCAAAGGGATGAGTTTATGTAGATTGCCAATGAAAACACTTGACAAACATTTCCAAGTCAAAGTTTTACATGACTAGAGAAGCAGACTTTTCTCAGCAGGTCTTAATGCATAAAAGAGAAGTTCACCATATATCTGTTTCCATTATTCATGAGTAAATTGAGTAAGATTTGATTATGGGAAAGCATAATTTAGTGCTTTTTGATTTCCCGGGGAAGAAATTTATTCAGTATACCTGTATTGTTCACTCACACATAACTGAGCCAATGAGGGATGCAAAGCCTCTGTGCGCCACAGCAGCTTATTATATCAGTAACTCAAGCTTACGCGCGTATTTGAACTTACCTACAACCAGCAGATAGCAACCTGTGCAGATGTCCAGCGCTGGGGATAACGCGGAGCTGTAGATATCCATTGGGACTGTGCTGAGTAACTGAGATGCAGGGTGAAAACGATAACAGAGAAAAAGTGACCCGTCTTCATGGGATGGAGAAAAGGTCGAAGTGCGGGGTTGTTGATGCGACCCGGTGTCAGATCCACCTGTACTCAAGTAGGGGGCAGAGAGGTTGTCAGGGCGCAGCGCGCCGGTGTTCTCCCGCTGAAGCCTGTCCTGTATAAGGTGCGTCGCCCAGAGAGGGCAGGGCTACCATCCAGCGTCTCCACTGCCGCTCAGTGACTGCTGCTCACTCAACTGAGTGGAGAAGAGGAGAGAAACATCTCGAGCTGTTGTGCATGTTGCGCTCTGAATCACTTTTCAGCGCTCTATCACAGTTTAACCACCTTAAACACATACACTGTAAAAAAAAAAAAAAAAATAAAAAAATAAAAAAATAACATGAATTTAAAAAGTATTTATTCATTAAAAGACTCATTCAATATTTTTGGATTTGGTCTCATCATTTGTATGGTCCCAGTGCGTTATGGATAATCGGTTCATGTATTTAATTCATGCTGTGTGACGCTATTGGGCCATGACGGATCCTCTCGCTGTATGTAAGCTGCCCTCTGGGTTCATACAAATTATGAGACAGCAATAACCAAATCCAAAAATATTGAATAAGAGCGGATCCTTTATGATTATATAAAGACTTAAGCTAAGGCAAGGATGTGGGCAATCTTCAGTGCCTTGGGCTCAGTTACAGATGTAACAGGGGTAACTGAGAAGGTGTTGGGGGCTGATTCGTGCATTTAATTTGACCAATGATAATGAATAAACAAATCCACTCCACCAGAATTCTTTTCCTAGGAGTATGGGGACACTTAACTGAATAAATTAAATTGGGAAATTCCATATAATAACAATCAATATTGGGCTTGGGCGAGGGGGTCATTTGGGAACTTGGACCTCAGTATTTCTAACATCCTGGCAAAGACACTGTTGCTGTTGCCCTTTAATGTTCAATAGGTTTGGGGTGCAACAAAATATGGTGGCGAGGTAGCCCAGAAACTATTTTCTGTCTATCTGCCTATTTCAGGTATTTTGACAAAAGGCCTCCCTACAGGCCTCTCCACTCAGATGTGTCCAGGTTACCGCAGGATCACGGCACTGTGGAAGGCTCAAGCAGCTTAAGGGCCCTGAAACTGTGTCGTTCTTTTCTCCATAGCAGTGTCTGGGATCAAACTGGTTCATAGTTGTCACCGCACATTCACTTGACTTCAGTTTAGCTTTGCACCAACATGAGCCACAGTTTATGTGTATAGGGTGATCTCATATTAGAAATCTACAGCCCTTTGACTGACACAATCAATCCAAGTGAAATAGTAACATAAAGGACAAATGTTTCTGTGTAAAAAAAAATAATCAAAATGCTTCAAGATTGAGAGACCGATTGCGTTTTTCTCTTTGAGCTGTCTTTTATCTTGTCAGTCTCTACATCATTGTCAGCCCCCTGCAATAGAAAATCCATTGTGGGGACTCAATGACCCACACTGTCCAGACACTGTCAGAAATGATGTCCATGATTAACAGCCAGGTGCAGGGCCGAGCACAGATGTCATATTTTACTGCTGGGTAGGAGTGGGTGAGTGTGAAAAGCGATAATACAAGGCTGTCGAAATTTAAAAGGCTTTTCTCTGGTGAGAGAACGAACCTATTAGCAAAGGGTTTGTAAATGCTTTTTTTCCTGTGACAAGTATTTGGAGGTGACAGGTGTTGATTTTACTGTTTTTTGTCTGACAAAAGACTGACAAAAACTTCCCAAGGGGAAGAATTCTGACAACCTTCTGGCATTTTGTGCCTTGCGCTGTCATCGGGAATTTCCAGTTACAGCCACACAATGCTGTATGTGTATCTTTTATGTACTGTAAACAAAAGCAGCTTTGTTTGTTTGTAAACTGTGGAGGTGGATGTGGTTTGCACTCAGCTGCAGAAGATAGAGGTGAGGGGAAGGCTTGTGAGAGCAGCACCAGGTGAGTTGATTACCTCAGCTGATACTCATGAAATAATCCCTCACCTCTTTTAAGGCAGTAGTGTGCTGGACCTCGAGGCCCGACACACATGACAGAGGAGACGCAACAGGAGCAGACCTGAATTGACTGTTGTGTGTTAATTGTGTGTGCGGCAGACAAAATAATAAAGTTGTCTTGTGCAGTAATCCCTGTGGTTGGTCTGTGTGCTGGGAGAACCCTCGTAGTAGCGAGTCTTGCTACATAAACAAAAGTGGTTTGTTTGTAGTCAACGCTTCTTACAGAAACATCGTGTTTATCCTGAGGCTTGTAAAGAATTGCGTTTTTTATATGTTGAAACTTGCATTGTTTACATTGTTGCAGTCTTCCTTTTCTTCCTCCTTAATGGCACATTGTGGATATTTACATTACCAAACATTACTGTCCTCTACAGTCTGCCCCCACGGACTGACCAGAGGTTGTTGGTTTTAAAACATGGGCTCCATGCACCCCACTTAATCCTCCACTGTATTGACAGCTATTGTCAAAACAATTAAAGCTGCTGTTATCAACATTATCACACTGATAATGAATGAAATTAGGTTTTATTATTGTGTTGCTTGTGATGAGCCCACAGAGAATCAGCATCCTGCTCTGCTGTTCCCCTCAGCTCTATGAGGCGATGTGTCTTTCAGTTCATTGTCTTTCTTTTTAGGGCCCGCGGGCTCAACTGTTTTGGATCACTCTCACCGCTCGCATTGTGTTGTTTTTATCAACATTCAGCTATTATTTTCTGTGAAAAAGCTCCAATAAACCAACCATACGCTACTTGCCAAACAGCAGCCAGACAAAGTTAGTGACTAGCTGGTGTACATAGTGGAACCTTTAGCAGCTCAACAGCCAAATATTTACTTGAGCAGTTGGCAGACCAAAACAGATCTATATTCCTATTTTTTGCAGACTACTGTATGTAGTACGTCACAGAAGTCAGCACAGACAAAGCAACCAGACAAAAAACAAATATGGCTTTGGATGACTGACTCAAAGAAGAGATTAGCTGGTTCTGTGGGCTTTTTGTTTCAGCCACCCCCAACTGAAGCAAGTCTTCTTGACAAAACATCTTAGAAATCATCAGACTAACAGAGGCGGCATTAGGAGTCCTTCTGGAGCTAAAATGATGTGTACTTATTTATGGTGTTGACACCCTGAGTGGTGCTGATTTTCCTTTGAAAGGAGCTGCTAATGACCGTCTTGTCAAAAAACCTGTCTTGCAAATACTGCAATTATTTACTGTAGGGTTAAAGTAAAAAGCTTAATAATTTCTTCTCTGGTCGATGGAACTCTGTGGTTTAGAGGCACTGTATTTAGAAGACCTACTTTTAGTGTCTAGTCCATGCAGATAGCTTTGGTTTTATTTATTACAGACTGTAAACAAACCTGGTTGTTTACAATAAAACAACACAGGGTAGCTTTAATTAACACAACTATCTCCTACCACCATTAGTACACGAGAGGGAGGGGAAATTATCTGTGATGCCAGAACTGACTTTACAGGTTTTCCACATCTTTCTGTTGTTAGGGGGCTCACTGCTATGCTTCCACGCGTTGTCCAAAATCATAAAAATAGGCTACGCTGTGCAGCACACACAACAAAATATAATAGAATAGAATATTTGATTACATTCCAAATAAATCAAAAGGGAGCGATCATGTGTGCCTTTAAGTAATCAGGTGTGGATAAGCAGGAATCCAACAGGTTCACGTTCCAATACAATACAATACAATACAATACAATACAATAGGCAATAGCAAATATTATTCTGCCAAACAAGATTAAATATAAATATTACATTTACACAAGACAATGAGATACAGTTTCTATCAGAGTGCAAACACTGGCTATTCCATTCAGTATATTTTCCAATATGACAGTAGATCCAGAATATACATTTTCAATAGATAAATACAAAAATACACTGTTGCCCATGAAGTTGGAATAATTTTGTTTTCAGACACATTCCTCTATTTATTCCTATTTATACACATCAGTAATCACCTATGACCAGTTACCCAGGTGACACTAATTCAATTCAAACAATTGTTTGGCACTATAAAAGGCAAGACATTCGCTGTGTTGTCTTTTTCCTGCTTAAAGTCTGTATGCAGTAAGTCCACGTTTTCAGAATTGGCTGTATAATTTTCAACCAAATTTGACACAGAAGTTCCCTAGGCTATGCCTCGTCTGACGCAACTGGCAATACAAAGAGTGCTTGCACTCCGACAGGACGGACACAAACAAGCCAACATTGCTGATTTCCTTGGAATATCGCAGAGTGCGTTCCGTAAAATCCTCAAACATCATCGAGAGGAGGGTCATTTGAGGCCACGAAAATCTCCAGGACAACCACGGCTAACTACCAGTCGAGATGATCGGCAACTGCTTAATCTATGCCGTAGAAATTGGAAAAGGCCAGCAAGCTGCCTTCGTCGTTTGTGGAGAAGACACAATGGAATCAATGTTTCCCCGCCAAACTGTTAATCGAAGATTGCTTCGGCATGATTACAGAGAAAGACGAATGACCAAGTGTCCACGCCTAACTGTTCAACACAGAGTTGCTCGCTATGCTGGGCTAGGGAGCACAGAAGATTACAGCTTGGGCACTGGCGACATGTTGTCTTTATGGATGAGAGCCACTATATCCTTCACCGTATAGATGGAAGACAAAGGGTGCGGCGATTACGTGGTGAGAACCTCCGTGATGACTGCATCCAGGAAACCATTTAAGGAGGTGGCGGCTCAGTGATGGTATGGCCCGGTATTCATTATGGAGGAAAAACTCCACATTGGTGGTGCTGGACGGAAATGTCAACGCCGTCATGTACTGGGACATCCTGGAGAACCATTGCCTCCCACACGCAAGAAGGGTCTAAGGGAACAACTTTAGGCTGCAAGACGACAACACAAGAGCACATAGAGCAGCTGTGGTGAGAGAATTTTTTTGATGCAGAGGGGGTGGAGCAGATGCTATGGCCTGCTTGCTCCCCTGATATGAACCCTATCGAGCATGCTTGGGATGCCTCAGACCGAGCCCTTAATGAGTGGGACAATATTCCTCTACAGGAATTAGCCCGGGATCTGTCCGAAGAGTAGGATGCCCTGCCCATTGACGTCTTAATGCATTGATCTGTGTCAGGGGTGGCCATACCCAATATTAGCGACATTTGAAAGAGTAATATTGGACATTCTTATGCAGGAAATCCCCTCATGGGTTTCCTGTTAAATTGATCAAGATTGAAAAATGTAAACAAAGCCCTTAATCCTATTGTTACCCTCAATTTAGTTTAAGCCTGAATACAGTTTGCAGAAGTTAATTGTGGTTTGATTTTCACTGTGATATGTTTGGAAGAGATTGATAAATAAAGTTTTGAGAAGATGTACACTTTATCTATCAAGAATAAATCACATTGTCCCAATCATTTCATAAGAAGAGGTAAAAAATCTTTTATCCCAACTTTATGGGCAACACTGTATATGAAATACTCATTCATATATTATTGAAAATGCATATCTAAGACTAGTAGAGGAAAAAAATCCAAAATATATTAGGAAAAAGATGAAGCAATATATAAAATGTGTAGTTTGCTCCTTCGTTTTGTTTATTAATGTAATAACACAGGGTCAATCCTAGTATCCTGGTGTGTCTGGGGAGCTCACTGCTCTTGTGTTACTTACTGCATACTCTGCCAACATGATGACATAGTTTGGTAACAGGCTGTCACTAGCTTTCTCAGCTGTCAGAGGCGAGATATCTATTTGTACAGTGGGTTGAAGGAAATCTTGCCTCGATCGAAAACACTATTTGTACATAAGATTGCCAAAAGACACTTTAATCAAGTATATATTTTTTATTTTTTTAATGTTTTAATTAGCTACACACTGTCACACTCTTCCTGTCTGTCCCTCCTTCCCACTACACCCTAAGTATTTTTTGGGGGGCTTTTATTGGCTTTATTATGGTGACAGCTGAGGACAGACGGGAGAGGGGAGCAGAGGGAGGGGATGACGAGCAGCAAGGGGCTGCAGGTAAGATTCGAACCCTGGGCCGCTGCAGCAAGGACTCAGCCTCGGTACACAGGTCACCAGCTCTACCCACTGAGCTAACCGGGAGCCCCCATAGCAGCCTTTTTGATGTGAAATTGTAGTGTAAACACAGGTGTTGCCAATGATAATTACGGAGTCAGGGTGTCACTATTGTACATGTTGGCTCACTGGAAAGGCTCTGCTACACTAAATGGAACAGAACCTTGATGAGTGTCATTGGTAACACCTTACCCTACTATTTCATGTCAAAATGGCTCCTGTGAAAAAGGTATGTTCTCTTTTTCCTTCTCTCATCAGTCCTGCTGTTACCTGAGCTTCACTGGCCACCCACTCACCTGCCCCCTACATATTTAACCAGTCCACTTCCATCGGTTCATCCTGGTTGCTTTGCTTTCTGGCTTTGTGCTTTTTTCATAATTTCATGCATTGCTGTAGCCATCATTTTATAAATGCTGAAATAATGGCTCCAATTATCTCCTTGAACATTTTTTTATTCGCTCTCAAATGCCACTGTGATTATGCCCATACTATCCTCAGTTACTGTGTTTCTACAATTTAATTTCATTAAACTTTAATATTATACATATAATGTAGTATAACCCAGCACAGATTTTACTCTATATACAACTGTACTTACTTCATAATAATAACATTAAAGCTAATTCAATTTTAAACCTCACATGACATTTAATCTTGTATGTACTTTATGTACTATGTAGGCATTTTACATAACAGACTGGTCGAACAATAAAGATAAAGAATCAATAAACTTAACAAAGAAATTCTTAAACAATATTAGATAAAAAAAAAGAGCACAGTGATTTCAAGTTCAAAGTCCAAACTTCTCAAAAAACCGCTGCACAATAATCCACTTTGATTTGCTTCAACATGCTTTATATGTTCCAAACATACAAAATAAAGTGCATGAACACTAAGCCCTTCCCCCACATCCTAATGGTAAAACAGTTTGATGCTGGCTCTTTGGCCGCAGTTTGTGATTGCTCTGATAATGGAACATTATCAAATTTCCCACTATCAGAGCTAATGGTCTGACAAACTGTCAATGTCAGACCACCACTAAGTACCACCAGGTCCACATAGATTAGACCTTGGAATCTAACCTTAAAAATCTCGTAACCCGCCCCATTAATGGCAACATTTCAGAGCTCAAGCAATTAAATTGACAGAGCAAAGAAATACACTTTATCACTTCCCAGCCAATTGATGTCATTGTCATATGAGGCTACTACAGCCAGGAGAGAGACACAAAACAGAGGGAAACAGTTAGCCTGGCACTGTACAAAGCTAAAATAAAAAATAAAAATCTGCCTAATAACATGCAATATAATGTGCAAAAAGTAAAAATGTTAATTAGTGAGCTGAGGAAGTGCTAGGAGTGTTTTTTATAACCTTTGGACAGAGCCAAAGACCACTGTTTTTAGTCTTTACACTAAGTTAGGCCAAACTAATCAGCTGGCTCTAGCTTCATATTTATATGAGAGTGGGATTCGTCTCATCTAACCCTTATCAAGAAAGCAAATGCACTCTTTTTCCAAAATGTTGAACTAGTGCTTTAATTAGGACACATCTATGAATCCTATGAAGTAAATTCAGACCCTTTTAAAATGAAAAGACATGGCAGCCCGACAGAAAACATATACCTTCTGAGAAAGAACTTTTACAAAGACTTTGTGACAGTCCTTTAGAAATATAGCTCTGTGAAACCAAATATCCCTTGAGATGGTGCTGATAAAAGCAAAGCATGCAGTGTTTTGAAGCAAAGTCACAAACACGGCCGCCATGTGCCTGCTTGAATGAACACAAAAAAACAGCGAAAGGTCAGCATGCATGAGAGGAAACAATAGCAAATTGTCAGTATTTGTTATAAGAACATTGTTGAAAGACACAAGAGATTACACATAATAAGAAGAATCTGCCTTCAAAGGGTGAATTTGTAATTTCTCCAGGCTGAACAGCTACTCAGAGTTTACAGTAAATTGGCCTATAAACAATTTACAACCCAAATAAAGTCCCAGATAAGTTTTTCAAATTTGATACATACTCCTATTAATGTTGCACATATTCCTTCTTATAAATTCTGAAACTTACAGTGCATAATAAGATAAATACACTACATAATGATAAGTAATAATTGATAATTAAAGCTGCAAGCAGCGATGGACGGGACCTCGCACTCCACGCAACTCGGGGCGTGCTGCGGCCGCGTCACGTGCCGTCGTAACACGTGCGGACCACAACACGAAAATCTCACGTAAATCAGCTCAACTTACTCGCACTTACTTCCTGTTGCCACTAGGTGGCGCTATCACTATGTGTTCAGGGCGGGACTCTTATCAGACATGTGAAGTTTGGAGCCGATTGGACAATGTACACTCAAGTTATAGCAACTTTGTGTGTTCTGGCGGTACATCAAAGTTTGATGCCACGCCACGGACATGCCCTGTAACAAAAACTCACCACAATCAAGAAATATCATTAAGAATATGTTTTCCATTTTCTGAGTAGATTTCAGCTTGATCTGATCATCCTACTAGGAGTAGAACATGGAAGTATAAAAAAATCTAGGAGGAGTTCGTTCAAATATAAGCCCAAAAAGTCAAAATGACCACAAAATGATGAAAATTAAAAATTTAAATGGGGGGGGGCTGATTCTGGGGGGGCGTGGCTTAGACGTTTGGCGGCGCCCGTGCACGGGGACAATGTCATATTGGTATTTTCGCTACGTTTGAATTTTGTGCAAATTTTCATGGCATTTTGAGCATGTTGTGGGGGCCAAATATACGGTCGAAGTCCCAGAGGTATAATAATAATTCCTAGAGGAACAATAGGGTCCTTACACTTGTTAGTGCTCGGTCCCTAATAAGTGTTTGTATTTGTAGATAAGATACAATGGCTGCTAATGTAATGTCATTTCAATAAACTTCCTATACTGACCTGAAGTTCCACTTAAGGCAAAAGTCTGACCTGATCAGGTTAATAATGTCCCCCAGTAGTACTTCCTGTTCAGCTTATTGTTTGCCTTAGGTATGGGTGAACCTTTCATCAACTGCAAAACACTTATGTTTATTTTAGTTCATTTGTCTTCCCTTTTGGTTTCAGTCAGTAGCTTCAATCAGAGAACGGAGCTCCTATAGGTTCAATAAATGTTTTCATATATAGTGAGCTATAGAAAAAAATAAACAAACCAATAGAATGCATAGCTATGTCACACTAAGAGGTGGAAAAAAGAGAAATAACAAAAGACTGTGGATATATTGCATTTTTCTTTATTGCAGCAACAAGTTCACACAAGGGCATTTTCATGTTTAACAGATGTGTGTTCAGACTATTCCGGTCATTCTATAATACAGCATTGTGAATTTTCCGTTTTATCCTCAGCTGTACAATATATAACCAATTTGTTTGCATTCCGAACTGGTACATGACATAAAGTAAAAACATTAAATCAACCTTTATCCAAGCTTTATGATTGCCTTTTTTGTGTAGAACAGACAACTGTGTTGCTCACATTATCTGAACCATTCTTCCCTCCAGTATAGCAGTCTTCAGAACAGAAACACACTAATGCTGCAAGCTGTTATTTTTCTTTCTCAAGCTCCAATTAGCATAATCCGATAGAAAAACCAAATACATTTTTACACGCACAAAACTGTGGGTATAACAGTATGTCCCTTGTGGCCATATTCATTTGAAAGAATATTTTAACCCACTCCATCTGTGCTGCATTGTTTATGGGCATCATTGTTGGCAAAACTGTGTAATGTGAAAACTACAGAAGTTCAGGTTTTCAACAGTATGGTTTATGTAATGATAACAGATGGATGAAAAGGAAAACTGTTAACTTTATAAGTGGCTATAGTATTCTTCTATGAGTCTAAACAAGTCTGCTTCAAAGTCCGCAGGTCACAGATGTGCAGTGTTAGTATCATGCTGAAAATAATTCAAACCACCATTTTCTGAGACCGCCAGTTGACCTTAACTTCAGCATGCTGGGGTGAAACGATGAAGCACGTACACTGAGGATCCATGGGATTTGGGAAACTTAGAGTTCACCAAATACATACACAGCTAATGGGAGGCCATGGGAAGGTCACACTCACAACAAACAAATACTTCTGCTTCCTTTTTTGTCTCTCAACTCTCTTTGGGAATAAAATCCACACTTTCTGTTTCTTATTCCCCCTGTGGTCACCTCCTAATTTAATTGTTAAAAACTACAAGAGACCAAATCTTCGTTTTAGTTTCATCCACCACCTTTTGAGAAAATGTTCTTTCTTTGTTGAGAGTTACATGAGAAATTTGATACCTCTGTTATGAAGAAATTGAATATAATATTCATAGGTATGTCAAACATAGGAACTTTTGTGTTTTCGTTACATTAGAATAAGCCATTTCTATCTAAAATCAAAAACTTGTGAGTTCTGCGGCCACTGTAGTTATAGACGCCAGTGGTGTTGAGTCAAATACTTTTTTGTGAAGCTATTTTTTTGGGCCTTTTTATTGCCTTTATTTGATAGTGACAGCTGAAGACAGGCAGGAAAGGGGGGCAGAGAGAGGGGATGACACACAACAAAGGGCTGCAGGTCGGATTCGAACCCTGGGCCACTGCAGCAAGGACTCAGCCTCAGTACATGGGTCGCCAGTGCTACTGACTGAGCTAACCAATGCTGGAAAGAGGGGGGAAACAGCTAGCACAACCAAGAAATTGTCTGGCACATAATTTAATGATTTAATTAGTGAGCCTGGATTTTAGTAAGTTTGGACAGAGCAAGCCAGCTGTTTTCCCGTGTTTCAAGTCATTCTCCTAATGCTAAGCTAAACATGAACATTAGAGTGGCACTAATCCTCTTATCTAAGTCTTGGCAAAAAAATCCCAAAATGAACTATATTCCTGACAACTCCAACAAAGGGGTCAGGATAAGAACATAAAATGCCTCATCAGAAACAACATTAGCCCAAAGTCATCATCTCACTCCCAGACTGGCTGCTAGGAGCTCCCATTAGACCAACACATGTTTCATCAGTCCCAGTTCCAAAAATGCTGCAGTCAGAATCTCTTACCACATTGCCTTCCAGCTTTCCTCCTTCAGCAGACGAATTGGCCTGATAAGAACAACAAAAAATCAGCCTCAGGAGGCGCCAGAGCTTGTGCTGGGAGGAACGCTGGAAGATTAAATATATGAAAGGGTTGTATACGGTGGAGCTCTTAGCGAAGAGGCATGGTAACAGGGTGACGAATGGAGTCATGCGGCTCTGCTCCTTGGAGTGAAACATGCTCCAGAAGCTCACGGCCACGTAGGGGGTCCAGGCCATAAAGAAACCTGAACTGATCATCACAGCCATCTGAAATTAAAAGAGCAGATGAAAGAACAGGGCGCAGAGTTATGAAGGAAAAAGAGAATAAAACAAAGGGGTGTGTGGAAGACATGAGTTCAGTAGAAGAAGAGTTGGCAGGGGGAGGAATAGATTTATTTTAAAGCAAGCCACCTGCTGATTTGAGAAACAATTTAAAGGAACAGTGACATTTGGGATGTACACTCATTAGATATCTTGCTGAGGTATGTACGATTCATACATCTGTTTGCTATATATGAAGCTACCATCAGCAGAGGTAGATGAGGGCACAGCTCACATAATGTGTGTGTGTGTAATATGTATGAGTGTGGTATCGATCTAGCTCTCAGAAAGAAAGCTAATTTTATGTTCCCCAAAATATCATAGTATTCTTTTTAACAACTTGTTTCAAGGACTGGTGAAATAATTTTTTTGATGATACATATTCAATATCTATTAAATGTTCTTCTACAGCATTTTAATCTGTCTTTATCTTTAATTTGTCACAAGTGATCATTAGAAATCATTGTGGTCTCATGGCTATGTGGGTAAGATAAAGCAGCAGGCAATTATTCTGGCAGGTGGATAATTCAAATACAGATGAAGTCAGGCAGAATGAGCTACAGTCCATCTATTTGGACCTGAAAGATTTAACTGTCACATTATATGAAAGGAAAGGAAAGGAAAGGAATGAAAACTTAATTATCCTTGATGAGCAGGAAAGGGACAGGTTTATCAACAGTCTGAGAATGGGAGCTTCCCAATTCCCCAATGCAGTTCATAAAGAGCTATAAATTCCTCCTTTTGAATATTCCACATCATCAATCTTCCTATCTTCTCATCAAGGAACGTTAAGTGATCAAAAAAGATCAAACTAATAATTCACACGTGAGCATGAACTGCAAATGTAAAAGCTGTAAAAGCATAGTAGATCTGTCAGTGGTCTGTATGTTTGTCTGTAGGCTTTACTCAATTTATCACGTCACATGCTTGACTAACCATCCAAACCAAACTAGAACTCCCCTGGATTTTTGAGAAGATAATCAATGTTTCCATATGATGAACAATGAACAACTATTCTGTGTAAAACAGTGTTTATTTATTTATTTATTAGAACCTAAGGTGATCTGAGCAGCAGTGTGGTGGCGATATAATAATCCTGCTCAGATCAGAGCAACACAGTGAATTCACTGAACAAGTAACAGATTAAAACTATCTTGAGTGGTGTGGGGAGAAAGAGCAATATAGAGTATAAGCACCCTTATTCTGTATTCACATGGCCAGCTTCTCTGTAAGTGAATAGGTGGACTTTCAGATAATCAGACAACACTAATGAATCCCCCTATGTGATCTATGGAACATGTTATATCCAGCTCGAGCTGACAGCATTATAATTAATTGGGACCTATATGGTAAAAGAAAGAAAGAAAAGCATTCATGTGGGAGAACTGAGTGAAAATGAATGTTACAGGCACAGAAGGAGCACACAAACAAAAACACACACACTCAACATCCGTGTCCGCAGGGCTTTTTGTGTCTACGCATACAAATCTGTTGTGTTCTCAGAAACCCAGACGTGTAAAAGTGGTGACTCGTTGCTGACCTCCCGAACTCTGTCAAGCACAATTGGTAGATAAGTGAAACACTTTCCCTTCTGATCTTTGTCAAGCCTGTCTAGGTTTCCTGAAGTCACATTGCCTTCAGCCTGACCAAAGTTTGACCACAGATAGATTTACAATCAGAATCAGAAGAATTATGACCTTTGGTTTCACAAAGAAAATCTGCTACAAAAACACTTTCAGAATCAATCTTTGTCATTGATTTCATATCTAGGCAGCTTGATCCTGCGCTTAGACGGCCTAACCTTTTCATTTAATTTCAAGAATCAATAATAATATAGTGACAGATTAAAAAAATGTCTAGTATGTGAAGTCCCAAACCCTTTCCCCCTCACTCTCTCTAATTCACACACACTCATGAATATGCACTTACATACACAAGTACATGCACACACTTCGAAATGCAATTAAAACGCTTAGATAAGGCCCACACCAGGGGCTTACAGATCACATTAGCAAACCAACATTCCAGCATTCACCTCGCACTGAATCAAGGGAGTGATACGATTTCTCTCTCAAAGGAGGAAGGAGACTCTTTATCTATAATGGAGTGTTTTCAGTAGCACAGTGTTGGTAGTTAATATAGGTGAAGTCCTAAAACCACTTAACACCACCTGGCATTGTTAGGGGGGTGAGAGGGGCATAAATGTATTACAGGACCAGTGTTTAGGATTTAGTGGCATCTAGTGGTGTAGTTGCAGATTGGAACTCCCTCACGTCACCGCCCCCCTTCCTCTTCCTGGTGGTCGTGAAATGCGCAAAAAACACAAATGGCCTTATTTAGAGCTGGTGTTCTGGTTTGTCTGTTCTGGAGCGGTAGTGGCAGTCCCATGGAAGGTGACCCATGTAGGTCTAAAAGGCTCATTCAAAGGTAACAAATACAAAACGATTCTTATTTTCAGGTGATTATACACTAATGGGAGCATATCTATGAATATCATATTCAATTTCTGCCAATAGATCCTCCTAAATGTTACACACTGGACCTTTAGGTAAGTCTGGTGATATTCAGTATTACTCTTATGATACCCCATGAAATGACCAAAACCAACAAAGAGTTTATCCCACTATCTGTTGTAGTCCAAAAACTATTGAAACACATATGAGACAAAATCATTGCTCTGTTCTCACAGTTTATCTATCCTAGATATATCATCCTCCTGTCATAAATACTCAGTATTCCACCAAATGTGAATCAAAGCTGAATTAAATGCGGACTACTGGCTGCCTAGCTAATGTAGTAAACAGTAACACAAAGATGATTTTTCTAAATGGCGTTATCTCAAGAGCACCAATTCATTATCCTGAGAAAATTGTCACGAGAAAACAAGAGGTTCTTTCCTCTTATTGCTTATGTATGTTTATCAGAGATCTGGAGTGCCATGCCAGCATGCATACATGGCATATTGTAGATGTAGCACTGGTTCAACATAATGTAATGGACAATGCATGCCAGTAAAGTTTATTTTCATTCTGACCAAAATGAGCCAGCAAACAGGAAAAGGTGAATGAAAGGAATCTGGACATTGCAAGGAGAGTGGGGCTCATTTAATAAATCACTTTTCCTGGCAACAATGGCTGCGTTTCATCAGTAGTTCCACTTCCCCTCGTTCACTTACCCTCAGCCCTTGGTATGACGTAACAGCATACGTCGCACGGAGGCCACTTGGAGCTTGGAGGGAAAGTGGGCGGGGGAGGAGCGGGGGATTTAAATGAAACGCACTTGCCCTTGGAGTCTACTCATTGGCAGCCGTCGGCGTTATAGCGGCAATGACGTAAACTGCAATGCATTGTGGGTGATATCCACCTCGGAGTGACCATCGTTGTTCACTCGCTCCCTCAGCCCTCCGAGGGTCCGTCTCACCAAGTTCACTTCAGTTTTCCAGACAATTGGAACGACACTTATGATGGCGGCGGGGATTCCCCCGAGGGCAAGTGCCGAGGGCAAGTGAACGAGGGCATGTTGAACGATTAATGAAACGCAGTCCTAGTCATGGCTCTGCTCCCCTCCTGCTCCCTTTGCTCCTCCTCCTTCCCTGTGTGTGCCTGATGAGGGTGCGGCCTCTATTCACCTCATCTGTGTGCTGTCTCACCTGCGCTCAATCAATTCATCAGCCTCAGCCTTCAAGAACCCTGGTCTTCCTCCCATTCATCGGCAGATTGTTCAGCCAACTTAGTGGTAACTTTTGTGGCTCCCTTTTGTGTTTACCTTTCTACTATATGTCCATTTGTGATCCTTCTGCGCCAGCTCCTCCATCTAACCTTTTCTCTCCTGTGCTCCAGGAACCCTCGTGTGCAGTTCAATTTCCAGAGTCAGCTCTCCTGTGCCTCCGTGTCTCTGGTCTCTCTTGCCATTTCACCTGCCTGTTCCTGCCGTGGCCACCCCTCATCCCCCCCAGTGTGTGCATGTGGAATAAAGACCCTTAAACCGTCCATCTGGTCTGTGTGTCTGCTCCTGGGTTCAGTCAACTAGCCCTGACAAACAACTCAGTAAATTCAGTTATGAATCCTCCCTGACTATCATGACAGCCATTTTGAAGCTCGAAATCAGGTGTGATCAAACGCACCAGACACTCATTTTTGAGTTATCCAAGTTATACCATGATCTTGAGGGGAAAAAGTTTTTTCTTCTGATAAATGATCTCGTTATCTCAATAACTCAACAAAATTTTGTTTACTTGGTATTTCAAGATAAATTACCATGTAATCTTGAGATAATGGCGTTAAAATAAATATTGCAAGCATGGCCCTTCTTGGCTTCCATAAAATTCAAAAGTACTTTAGACAGAACTGTTTCGCCCCAAGCTAAACTGGTTATCCGCCGGCTCTAGCTTCATATTTACTATAGAGACATGAGAGTGGTGTCAATATTCTCAATCTCAGCAAGAAAACCAATAGCCATATTTCCTAAAATGTCAAACTATTCCATTACAGGTTTACACCTTGGTGGGAACCAGGGCTGAGTTGGTTTTGGTCTTTTCAGTTTGTTGGTGTAACGGTCTGTGATTCCACTTGTCTTTATCCAGTAGTGCAAGTTAATTGGCTCACAGGGGTCGACACTCAGAATGCAGTCAAAGCAATATTTTGAACTTTATTTGTCTGTTGTAAAGCTGCTTCAAGTGAGAGGAGGAGGGGGACTCCGGCGGGGCGGTAATTATGTTCTGTGCACTAATTAGATCGACTTTGTTAATATTGTCAGAATTAACTTAATTACTCTGAAATCACTTTAATGCCTACGTTAAGCAAATAGAGCTGTGCACCTGTGAACAAAAGCGTGATGTGATAAAGATTCAGCTGTGTGAAAATCTTCAAAAGAAAACAGATGTGGTTATCTAGTACATCTAAATATGCCTCCGCTTGAAAGCACATAAAAAAGAATAAAGTAAACAGGACTGCTGCTGAGAGATATCTCCGAGCTTTGAGGTTGTTTATGTTATACAATCTGAATTTACATGCCTGAAGGGATAGATCACAGTTCTACTGATACACTTGAAATATATATATATATTGTTTTTATTCATATATATGAAAAATTGATAAAAACAAGAAATTTCATGACATATTTGTATGTGTTGTTACATTAGTGTTTCATAAGTTTGGAGAATTAGATTTTTCAAGGAATCAAGGAAATGTATTTATTAAATAATGATATATATATTGCTTGTATAGGTTACTTAATTCAATTGGAATGTTGATACTTGCCATGATATTTCATTTAGGTGGGTACAAATATCAATAAAAAAAGTAAAAGTATTTCACTTCATTGATGTCTGGTGTTTTTTGCATTGGTTTCAATTCCACATTTATTCTTGTGCTACATTTACACAGCAATTACACTTAACACAGTATGTACTAAAGTTTTGCAGCTGAACACACATTCATTGTCTTTAATTACAGTTAAAGCAGCTACGAAAAAGTTTAAGTTTGGGTTGATTTTGGCAGCCCCTGTGTACAAAAACCTCGTCTAGTCTGATATCAAGGAAAATCTGACTGAATTCGACCCAGTGGAATGCATTAAGAGTAACTATCTTCTCGCTGATCTTGTTTGTTTATGTGGATCATATGGAGGCATCAGTATTAAATTGACTGTTTCATACCCAGTTACAGACTTATTGTAGTATGTTTAAGGAGTAAGACATTTTAATAACTAACATTAAGATTTGAGGATTTCTTTTTTCATGGGAATTAGTGATAATTTTTTACTTACAAGAGTGATCCTCTTCTCAACACTGCCATATTGAAAATCATTGCTCTGGATGGATTGGTAGGCCCTGTGCAGCTTCCAGGCAATACCAAAATAGGTGAAGAGGACGACCAGACAGGGGAGGAATGTGCACAGTACAGACAGAGTCATGATGAATGTGGAGTGGTTTAGGGACTCCCCATAGCCGGTCCAGTCTATCGAGCAGGCAAGTCCAAACGGCTCTGGACCGTAGCTGCCCCAGCCCAGCAGAGGAAACAAGGCCCACAAAATAGCATACAGCCAGATCCCACTGATCGCAATACTGATGGTTCTCCTCTGGAACTTGATACCTGTGCACAAACAGATTTTAAATTCACTTCACTATGTTGCACTGTTGTGATTGGTATAGATACTGTGCTACTTTGCATTACAGTATATATGCTAAGGCTTCTGTATTTGAGGAGGTAGTTGGGATGATGGAGGGAGTTGTGGCAGCAAATTAAACCCTATTTTAATACCAAGAGTTGTTTTGTTGATGCCCCCAATCTATTTCAAATGATGGCATTTTAGAATATCATTAAACAACTTGATTATGGTTAGGGAATGATTATGGTTACAATTAATGTAAAGATGAACATTAGTTGCAGTTCATTCTACCTTGTTACATATAGGACAGAAAATTCCAAAGTGTCTTCCTGTATTAGCACTGATGGTTGATACTGACATAATTCTGGAATTATTATTTTAATTATTGAAAATATTATACATGTAAACGTCTCTGCTGACCTACACAGAGAAGGGTGTTGTGGGTACGGACGAAGTCCCACAGCATAGCCAGTGTGCACACCTTCCAGTATTTTGAGCGACCCCTTTGTCCTACATGCAGCCTGGAGAAGTAGCTATAACTCCATCTTAAACCCTTGTGAAGTGTGAAATTGTCTAATATAGACTGAACTCCTAAGGATACTGGTCTAGGATACTGTAGATCTGCATGAATATGACTGGAAATTACTAACCAGCTAGTTGCCATACAGCTGAACATCTGAGCCAGTGACTGTAAAGCAAAAATGAAACAGCCGATGCTAGCCAGTGCTAATGCTGTGACTATAGTCCTCTAATCTTCAGCAGATCAGAGCATTACTTGTGGGTATCTGAGGATGTTTAAGCTCTTTGAGTTTTTCAGAGCTTACAGGAGAGCTGTGTACAGGCGTTATTGTGACTATAGTGCCTCCAACTGAGGCAACTGCATTGATAACATTTGGTTCAAAGCTCCCTTGTGTATTTACTGGCAACTCGCATCCTAATGATGTACTGATCAGCGATAACCACATCAATTTACACTTATCTACAGCAGTCAGTAATCAATCCGGCGGCTATTTCTAACCCTGACTGGACTGCAAACTGGCACAGATTGACACACTGTTGTGTCAGTTACAATGGCAGGCTCTTATGTATAAGTGTTATTTTGAAGTTTGATTGATTATATTGTATTTCTATGCACAACTAATGAAAGGTCACAAAGGAAACTATCAGCAGCATACATACAGTATGTGATGAGAGTTATCAACATACTGTTGGTGAAGGATTTCTATGTACTTATCAGTATATTGTTAGTAGAGCACCCCTACTTATTTGGATCTGCAGATATTAACCCACTTAATTACTTTTATGCACTGACATACTTTCAAAACAGTTAGCTTAGTGTGCTTATCACTTGGCTCCTTGCATAAAGAAACTTTTATAGTTGATTATGTTATTATCCTTGCACATTTGTATGTTGTGCCTGTGGCAACAGCCAGACTAATACATCAATGCAGGCTGCTATAACATTCGGATGTTGTGAGGCTGCTGTCTAACAATGCTTCTACTGAGGCATTGAGGTCTTGTGGTGTCATAAGCTCACAAACTGAAGCTTGTATATTTGTAAGTGAGTCACAATAATATATCTATGCAATGCTTTCATGGTAAGAGATGAGAAACATGAATATCAGTGTAAATGTCAGTTATGGTATCAGTTGTATCTATTATTCAGCGAACCAAGCTGTGTGCACTGCTATTCATTAATCCCATTAAAATCAATTGGCTGACAACAATGAAGCTCTCACTGAGTGAAGGGATGAAAGAAGACAGCAACCCCTCTAAAAAACCAAGGCTTGGTCGGTGGGCTTTACACATATTTGACCAGAAGTTAGTCAAGCTCTTTTTTCAATCGTTTTTAACAGGTTTAGAATAGATGATTATCTTAAAGCTTACAGTTTATAAAAAAGGGTTTATTCTGCATTGGGTGCCCAGCTTTTCATCAGAAGGTACATCCCTGTGACCTTTGATAAGATTGATTGCTGACTTTAAGCATTGATTTCCTCATATCAAATGGTATTCATTAACTGCTCTGCTTGCCTGTAAATCCCAGCTCAGATTACACTACCTGTCTTGGGTGGACTTCCCGTTACCAGGTACCTGACCATCCCCATCACAGCCAGAGTCACGATGCTGGTTATACTGAAGATCATGCCCATCAGACCATAGTAGAGGCAAGTTGTATCACCTCCAATCCAGGCGTGGTTAAAAGCTGACGCAATGGACAGTGGATACATGGTGAGGGCCATGCCGATGTCTGTTAAAGCCAAGTTCACTGTCAGCAGCTCAGGAGCTTTGAGCAGGGCGAAGCGATGAGCTGCGCTCACTAGGACTGCCACATTCCCCAAAATGGACAGAATGGCTGTAAGAAAGAATATGAAAAGGGTAGAAAAACAATTACAGTTCCATCTCAAAACCACACTAATTATCCCTAAAGAGAGATGCAAACACTGTAAAGCTGGAAATAATGTATGCAGATGTTGATTGATACCACTATAGCCATATTTTTTCCCCCCAGGATGGCAAAGTCATGACCTGCCCAAATGTAAAGCTGCAACTAGCAGCCGGTTAGCTTAGCTTAAAAGTTGGGAAACAGAGGAAAGCAGTTAGCCTGACTCTCACTAAGTTAAAGAATCTGCCTGTCAGCACCTCTAAAACTCACTTTGATCATAGGTGCAGCATAAACCTCACAAGCTCAAGGTCTGACTGTGAATGTTCAGGAAAATAGCCTTTACGCAGAATTCCACCTGTGTATGGTCCAAGGCTGATGTTACGTGCATTTGATTAAACTGTTTTCTCCATGATGTCGTAAGAGAACATATGTCCTGTCTATATAAACTGCCAACATGGACAAAAATCTAAATGATTTGAACCTTAAGAGGTTATTAAAAGATAATATATTTGAAGGATTATCTCTTTTACTCCTGTATTCTAAAAATAGAAAAAATATTGGAGCATAATTACAAAATTACTACTAACGTCTACTCCATTATAGAGATTGGTTGGTGTGTTCTGGGTTCAACCTGCTTTATATAATATCTCTCTCTTACATAAGCTTATGGAAATTTGATTGATACAACATGCAATATTGTGCTGGCATGTTTTCATTTTTGAATAGTCCTTTCAATCTGTGAAAAAGTTTTTGTCCCTCTATAGTCCTAATGGAACTTTCTCTCCCAGATCAACCTTGACACAAATTATATGCAGTCATTTCTTATTCATGAACTGTCTGTCATCATTATGAAACAACAAGACATTATTTTTGACAGTAATAGCTGAAAATTAAGAGGCTTTTTTGAAAATGTTCTTTTTGCACATTAAATGTGATTTGTATCAAATACAATAAAGCTCATTGAATGGTTTTGTGGTTGTAGCTAAACTCACAGAAAAAGTAGCATATATACAGTACTGTACATACACCCTTAAACATACATATAGACCCTTTGGCAACCAAAAAAATGATAGTCAGTTATTGCTGGAGCTCTTCAAGAGTTACTTTACAGTATAATAATTTTATAAGTAGCATCAGAATCTGAATCTGAATCTGAATCAGAATTGGGTTTATTGCACACTTTCTGGTTATAAGATTAACTACTCGAAGTCGATCCTACTATTGTTGAACACAGATCTGAAGAAATTGAAAATCCAATCCTACATACCGGTGGCACAAAAAGCAGTATATTTAGGTATAGAAATCCCTGTATCTAGGCAATAGCGAAAAATAATTACTCTTCCATTTAAAAAAAATTGAGGATGACCTTGAGAGATGGGCAGCACTCCCTTTATCAATGCCTGCCCGTGTAGCTACAATCAAAATGAATGTGCTCCCAGGTATAAACTTTGTAAGTTCTATGCTCCCTTTATCAACCCCAGTGGGCTTTTGGCAGAAACTTGACTCAAAGCTTAAAAAGTTCATTTGGAATGGGAAAGAACCTTGCATTAAATGGTTTGGCCCGATAATATCATATGTAATACAAACTATGGTGAATGTAGAGAAATATATGGGTTCTAAATCAAAATGGCATAAACACTCCCCTATTTGGCATAACGCCAACAGACGGGTGGCGTACCATTCATTTCACAATTATGGGCTCAGCATGGCATTTGGACACTGGGGGATATCTCGGGCCAAACGCAATTCTGGATTTTCCCGATCTAATGTCCCATTTCGGTATCTCAAGAAACTCACAGTTCCTCTATTTTAGAGTAAGGTCAGCGCTTAATTCGCTCAAGGTTCCTTGGGGGGTTGACTTGGGGATTCACCCTTTAATATCACTGATGGAGAAGGCTCCCCATCAGAAAATAGTCTCTTATATTTATAATAATCTCCTACCATACATCCCTGCAGAATCCCCCGAAAGCAGATGTTGGGAGGCAGATATGCATCTAGGAACAGAGACCATTGATTGGGATACTGTGTGGGAAAATGTCTTTCGGTCATCTAAAAACCCAAATCACCAATTAATCCACTAAAAAATTGTCACAGGACCTACTTAACACTACATAAAAGACATATAATGGGCTTAGCTCCCAATCCTGACTGTACATTCTGTAATCAGGGTGTTATGGGTACATTGATGCATGTCCTGTGGGAATGTCCAGATGTACAAAGGTTCTGGGTTAAAGTTGTGGATAAGGTGTCTGATCTAACAGGGAGGAAACTCCCACTGGAGCCGGCACTTCTTCTCTTAAATGATGACTCCAGGTTCAAGATTGCTGAGGTAGAATGTAAACTCTGGTTGGCTGGCATGACTGCAGCAAAAAAAATTATAGTTTTAAGGTGTCTTCCGCCACATCAGTTACCAATAAAACATTGGCTACAAGCTCTCCTCGAGGTGATCTACCTGGAGTGGTCATCAGCTTGCATTAATAATTCCAAGCCACAAACGTTGCAGATGTGGAAAAAAGCTGCAGAGGATGTTAAAACATTAAGAATGAAGAATGAAGAATTTGCCTTGGTGCGTTGGTGCATAAAAATCACACACAAATTGATTGCTAATGCACTCATCTGTAATGGAAGAAGTAATGGAATTCTTAATGAATGGACAAGGTGAATGCTATATGAACCTAGTCCTGTTTCTCGTCTGTTTAGAATTTTCTGTTTTTCTCCTGGAGGTTCGCAGCATCATTTTGCAGCTCAACCCCTGGAGACCGGTCTTCATCATCCCTCTAGAAGATGGTTTTCTTTCCCGCATTTACCTTGATGTTTTGACTCAACACATACTAAACATTGCTTAAATTTATTTAGGCCTACGTATGTTCTAATATCAGACTGTGAAAGGAAAAGATCATCAAGAGCAGCAGCTGAATGATTCCTGGCTCAAATTCACATTCTTTTCCTTAAGTTTCCCTTTTGTTACTGTCTGCTCACCTGCAGAGCACTTTACTCCAAAACATCTGTTAATTAATACATTTTACATTTCATTAATAGGCAATGAATGTCTTTTAGTCTAGGTGAATTATTTTTAAAGTTAAGTGAACAAATTAATTTAAGTACACTTTTACCCTTGATTCCTGCAAGGTTTTGTAAAAACCAACAGTACATTTTTTCTGTGGTTAATAGGATCTCACCATCGATTAGACATGCTAGTAGACATGTTAACAAAATGCTTCTCCTGGCTGTGTCATGTAAAAGTAAACAGAAAGCTTGATATTTTTTCTGCAATTGCGGATTACAATTGGTGGCTAAGTTTTTCTTGTTCATATGAAGTTCATTTTGAGATATTTCATTTGGAAAGATGAAGGAAGAATTCAGTTTATAGTGATGAAATAAAAAAGCAATGTACTGTACCATGATGGAAACATCCAAAGGAGTTAAGGAAATATATCACAACGCTTAAGATGCTGTATTGCATTCCTTCCAGATCACTCCACTTCAAGGGATCTCCAGTGATCCAAATGCCACAGGAGATCAACAAGAGTGTGAATGATTGTGTGCTTGTGTGTGTATGTGTTGTGATATGTTTGTCATACTGCAAATAATCACTCTTCTGTTCAGGTTTAACCATTACATCTGATGAAGTGGCAAAACATGCGGCAAATAATCTCCAGAATCATCAGTGCATAAACCCCTCAGATTTTTCAGGCAGGGAACAATAAGAGGCCCATGGTTGTGTGGGCAAGGACACTCTGAAGACATAAGCTGACATAACTCAGCGGTGTAGCAAGGGAATAACACACTAAAGCACCATTATGGTATTGAACAGCATGATGAGATGGGGATGGAATTATTAATGTCCATAGTTTTAGCTAGAACACGTTAAATTGCCAATTTCTGGTAGTACTTAAATGGTTATTTTAACTGAGGGAGCCATCTGTGTTGAACAAGTGGGGGATGTGAATTATCTTCACTGCACACCTCTGCAAAGTGTTGCCCCAGTAATAAGTCATGCTTCCTAAATCAAACCTTAAGGTTGCATTCATTCACGGTTTTGGGCACTAGAGAACAAAGAAGATCCCAACAAATTGACCTATACTTTGTTTTACCAAACCCATATATATATCCAGCACACAGGAAGCTAACATTAGCATTCATGGGTGAACGTTGACTGTAGTCCAATTGATGCTGGGTAGCTACTAAACATTGTTTTGGTTTTTTTCTTATTTTAATGGATACTGCTGCCTTTATGACAGAATAATGTTAAATCACTCTAAATAGTGTTGCATAATATTTCATTACCTGGCGTTTACAGTATTTTTATGTTTTATTAGTAGTTTCACTGCCAGCAGCGTCGTTAGAGGTAATACCAGCAGTCTCCAGTAGGGGGAGCGCAGCTTCCTTCAATTACTTCTAACATGTTGATTCTTTGGCATAAAATACTCCGCTTTTCAGGTACGAGTCCCTGTTATTAACGTCTTATGTTTATTACTGAGTTAAGTCAATGTCTACACTTGCTAAAGACACCATTCGTCTGTTAGCATGTTTTTGTATTGTGAAGTAATAAGGTAATGTAGTTAGCTAGCGTTTTCCGAATGCTAACTGCACTTCCCATGGAGTAGCGTTAACGTTAGCTAACGTTAGCTGTTATATTGTGTAAGTTAAGTTAACTCATATTTACTGTACTCGGGGAGTACTGTGGCGAAGTATGGTACTGTAATTTACTGTAATTGCGCAGTATAACTTAAAGCAGTCAATATTTTGTGGGCGGTTTATTTTATTTATTGGACACGTATTTAGTGTTACAACGTTAATATATTTTGCTATGTTACTGTTATCTGACAGTAGTCATACAGAATATCAATGCAGGTTTCAGTGTTCATTAATCAATAACAGCCTGCTGTATTTATTTCCATAGTAATCCAGTTTGTATTCATGTTGCATAATTTGACAGTATAACTTGCATACTATATTCACTGTGAGATTTAAACATGATTATTTGTCAGTGCTTGAATTTGAACTAAAAAGTGCCACAGCCCTGAGCTCTGTAAACCAGCAGCTGCACAACATGTGGCTTTTATCTTAGATAACAGGTCCTGGTAATTTATTGTGCTTGAAATTAAATCTGTATGGACATTCACAATATATCGTTAAAAGATACAAGCTTTTTTATGTCGTTGATCCTACAAAGTCAGTGACCTTACAATGTCAGTGACCTTACATTTGCTATTAACAGTGCAGACGATGCCTATGTTGAATGACTGTAGCACAGAATAGAAAGCAGACTATAAATAGAAGTAACACATTTTTCACTGACATTGGTCAGAGATGAACTACGAGCTGGGCAGTTGAAAACTGTGCATTTCTTCGCCTGTATGCTTTTGCTAGATATGTTTGGAAATATCTCTAGTGTTCTGAAAGACTTGCATCGACTCTAGTCAAGTGTAACCAGACTTTTGAGTGTTTATTTCTCTCTGTTGGTGTCACAAAGAGAAAAGCAGAGCAGAGTCGTGTGTGTGTGTGTGTGTGTGTGTGTGTGTGTGTGTGTGTGTATCTGCATGTGTGAGAAACAGGCAGAGAGAGCTCATAACGCAGTAAGAATAATGAAAGTCATAGACGATGTCAGTGTTAAAAAAGTGATTCATCACATATCAGTACTTTGTAAAAGCAGAGCATTTAGTAAACACAGCTTTTTATCTCTTACATTAATTGATGAATCAAATGGCAAGTTACTTAAAACTAATTTAGGCTATACTAATTATTTTTAAACATTAATTATGGTAAATGAAAAGGGGACACAAGCTTTATCGTCTACTCTGCTTTTAATTTAAGATTGAATTGAAGAATTTGATTAATAGATTAATGTCTTACTCCGGGGGGGATTTAAGTTGCGGACAAGGCCACTGTCTATTCATGAATATAATGTGTGTTTGTGTATTCTCATGTGTGGGTGTGTGTGTGTGGGGGGGGGGGACAGATGGATTACGAGGGACAAGCCTTTTAAGGAAGATTGAGCTTGTGAGAACTCGTGAGATGTTTTTTTTCCACAAATATTAATTATTTCTTATTGTTCGCCATTCCATTACGTTTGTAATATTAATTGACAATCCTACTGTGTAACCTATTTCAGTATTTCTGGTACAGTTATCTTAACTGCATTTTGATAAATCCAGCTGCTTAATGAATGTATGTCCCCACTGACAACTGATCCTAATTTTACCTCAGATGTCCCTACAATGGATTTTTGGCTGAATCTGTAACTGGGCACTGGATTACCTTTTACAGCACCAAAAGAATGCAACACAGCCGACCAAGTACAGACGTCTGGAGTTGTAAGCCATTCAGGGAATACAAAGTGACACCAGAAGCAGTGAGAGAGAAGTGACAAGAGTTCCCTTGGAGGTATACATTTACACACACACACTCACACACACATTGAATTCAGCTCACTACACACACACGTAGTAACAAGTAACACTAAAAGATGGCTTATCAACCTCACAGTCATCAATTTATTTAAAATACAATACACTTACAGCTTATGCACTGTATAATAATATTATATGAATAAACACAATTAAATGAAAGCCCAATTTAACTGAAGATAGCATGAAAACCAACGTGAATGAGATACAAAGCTCTCATTTTCAGCCTGTGAAAAGAGGGGAAAGGGGACATAACTTTCAACAAAATATCATTGAAAATGTTACTATTTGGTATCAAAATTCAATAGTGCTTGTTAGAGAAACTCTGCCAACTGGATCTAACAATACTGTATGCATAAAAATGGGGAGCTCATCAGACTGAAACTGGCAGGCAAAAAATAGTTTTGAAAAGTGTTTAACAAAGTGCTTATTTCTCAATGGTCATTTATGGGTTTTGCCTTCATGGCTACTAAAATAACCCATGCAAGCTCAAAATATTAATAATTTAATATTTTATTTTATATTTTTACAGCAATTGATATGATATAGGATGAAATAAGTAAGCAGTGTACTTACCAATTATCACAAGGTATATCCCTGCCCAAAAATCAACTGTAGGTGACAGTTTGGATATGAATTTATCATCCATGTTTGTCCAATCAGTTGTTAAAAACAGACACACAACTTACTTCCAGTAGGAAAAAGCCCCCCACCTTTAATATGTTCTCAAGTCTAGTCCTAAATGTACCTGTGCTGAATTTTTAGAAAGACTGAACATAGTGTTTCTTGTCTCCTCTGCCAGCCCTCATAGTCTTTCTGTGTGATGTAGCATCTGACATCTAATATACAGGCATAGACAGGTTACTCTACGGTACAGTAAACAGTGACACAAATAATCGACAGACACCCCCCGCCCACCCCCCACCCTGCCACATACACAAGCCACACCATCATACGCACTATTGCAACCTTGCGCACACACAAATACACACATACAGACACACACACACACACACACACACACACACTGCTAATGCAGATTATGATTTCTAACAATGCTTGTCCCTCAAAAAAACACTTCACTTATGTACACACACAAGTGCGCGCGCACACACACACACACACACCTAGGCTGGATCTATAAAAGCCTGAGGTAATTACACAATATGATGTCAGCTCTTGCAGAGTGTTAAAAAAGTGATTAATCACATCAGTACTTTGTAAAAGCAGAGCATTTAGGAAATGTAGGCAGCTTTTTATCTATTACATTAATTGGTCCATTAAATGGCAAGTTACTTAGAACTAAATTAGGCCTTACTCATTTTTTAAAATATTAACTATGGAAAATGAAAAGGGGACACAAGCTTTATCGTCTACTATGCTTTTGATTTAAGATTAAAGATGAGATAGAATTGGATTAATATATTAATATCTCACTTGGGGGGATTTATGTTGCAGACAAGGCCACTGTTTGTTCATGAATATAATGTGTGTTTGTGTGTATTCTCATGTGTGGGTGCAGTTGGGTAGAGATGGATTAATCTGGGCCTTTCAAGCAAAAATACAATTTGATGGTAAATGGGAACTATTTGACCGTTCTGTGATGATTCAGCTTGTGAGAACTCATGAGACAGAAGCGGTAGTGCTGTTTTTTTTCCCACAGCCAAATATTATATATTTTGCCTATTATATTTATCCTAAGCAGTCTGCTCTGCTGATAAAGGATGGTAGTGAAACTTGGTGATGATCATTTATGAGGAAAGTGCTGTGAATTGAGGGCTGATCTGCAAAGTCTGAACGAAATTACGGTTTAGCTGTAGCCCATGGGCCAAGGTGGCTGCAGATGACAAAGTAAAGCAGGCACACCTTTTTTTTAACCAGCCAAATGATTGAATCACCCTCTAATCTTTTTTTTTAAGTATTATTTTTTGGGCTTTTATTGCCTTTGTTGTAGTGACAGCTGAAGATAGACAGGAAGGGGGGGCAGAGAGAGGAGATGACACGCAGCAAAGGGCTGCAGGTCGGATTCGAACCCTGGGCCGCTGCACCCTCTAATGTCTACCAGTGTCACATACATACATAATGCAGGAGTTGTAGTTGGAGTTAAGTGATTTGACTCGTGTGAGAGTTAAGTTTTTAGAGTTAGAGAGAGTTTTTTGGTACTCAAATTCTCAATCATAATTCAATGTGAGAACTCAAAAATGGAAATTACTTAAAATAATCTCAAATTACAAGTGTTTTGCATGGATGATAAATGTTTGTTTGTTATTCTTCCAGTATCTGCACCACATTGAATTTTACAATTGAAGCATTTAGAAGTGGGAACATCAAAGTTTCGCATCACAGTTTTTCGTTCTGACTCTAAAGACAACTGAACCCTTGACCCTGGTTAATATAGCCTGCAGCGTGTATTTACCTTGCACCTCCTCCACATTTATCCAAGTGATCTTTGCACCTCTTTATGTGTGAAAAGGGCAGTGAAAACGCCAACGTTCACATACTGTCTCTGAGGTATAAAAATGCTGTCAATGGTTGAGAGTGTAGCTGCTTTGATCATGCACAATTATCATATTGTTCTATATTGTTACTGAAGTTCTAGTTGTGCATTAGCAGAACAGTTGTGAAGAAAGTTGTTTAAGTAGCAGGAGAAAAGCAGATGGCCATTTTTGATTAGTCAGTGGTGTTTTCTACTATTTCCATTAACTAATGCTAATTGAGTTTGGGTCTTGTGTACATGAAGATGTAGTTAATAGCATACATAGTCAGAATGTAATGTACCTGTTAGCAACTTGATTTTAGAAGCATTTATTTAAATAATAAACATATACATGCTGTAGGTAGAATATTAAGTAAAGAAAGGTGTGTAAGCAGTATAAAACAAACAAACAAGCATAACAGATCCAAAAAAAGCTAGACAGACAGAGAAAGGGAAAACAACGATGTCTATCCTGCTTTGTCTGTGCTACATTCTGCCTCACATCAATATCACCACATGTCTTATCCAAATGGCACAGGCATGCATGCGTGTATGCGGTTGGCATTCATATACCTCCTATTGCCATGCTAATAACAACTCATTCTTGGGTTTGACTTATTTATTGTTGTTGATGTTTGCATACAAGTGAGCTTTTATGTAAGCCATACCTTTGGAGGACTGGGTGTGACCAATGAATGGCAGAATAAAAGATGACGGTTTCTTTAATTATTTTAATAATAGTCTTGGTTTGTATGTAAACATTCCTTCTCTGGCCAAGAAATAATCCCTCCTGGTGTAATTTCCAATGTAAGAGATGGGGGACAAAGCATTTATACTTGTGCAATGCTGTGTCTGCATTGCTCTGCCACTGTGTTGAGTTTATTCTCGGGATGTGACTGGCGACTAATTTTGCAGTCAATATAAACGAAAATTAAAATTTAGACTAGAAATGAATTAATGTTATTACATGAAGAAGGAGATCACTCTCCTGGCTCATTGATCGTTGTGAAATAATATGATACACAATGCCTTTCGAATTTTTATTTTATGTTTTTTCCACTGCTGGATGGATTAACTTTGTGAACTACAAAACTTAGATGATGGCATTGTGTGAAGTTACAGAGGATATTGTTCCAGCTCTCAGGGAGCAGATAAACTAACGCTAAAGCATATACAACAAGGCTGACAGCTGTTTTATAATGTGATCACTAGTTTGTAAGTGCCCGGCGTAACCTACCATACTCTTAAGTATTTTCTTTTCAATGCCAGTTCCACCATCCTCTTTTCCCTGAATAGTACCATCTCTAGCAGAATAGTTGTGTGAGGTTAGATGGTAGAGAGTGAAATCAGCTGTTAGAATCCTAAAGCAGACAACAGGAACCTGATGATAGGACTATAACTTTTTAAAGTGGGACAAAGATGACCCAGCGGTGGCATTAGTCCAGGGAAGAGCCCAAGCAGGAGGCAGCCCCAACTAGTGGCGTATAAACGCAACAACACCAGTGTTTTACATTAATAAAATATGATAATTGGTTTAACCCAGGGGTTCTCAACCTTTTGCAAGCTGGGCCCCCCCAAAGCTGGTTCATTGCATTAATTATATGAGGTTACATGCTTTATTGTTATTATTATTATTATTATTATTATTATTATTATTATCATCAGTAGGCCTATTATCATTACTAGGCTATTGCTATATAATTATATGAGGTTACATGCTTTATTGTTGTTATTATTATTATTTTTATTATTATTATTATTATCATCAGTAGGCCTATTATTGTTACTAGGCTATTGCTATAATTGGGAATTGGCACCAGACCTCTGATATGAATTTATGCTTTATTATGGTTGTTATTACTAGGCCTAATAGTAGGCATATCATCTGCATTTTTTACAGAAGCTTGCAGGTAGGCCATATTAATGTGAGACCTGAGCCTGCTTTGCCTTGCAAAGATCCTCAATTCTTGGCGCAATGTCTGATAAACATAGCCTCAAATCATCCTCGATTTATGCACGATTGTGGTACTTTGTTTTGAGTGCAGTCATTTTTGAGGATCCTGCCTCACACAAATATGTTGACGCGAAAGGGAGGAGAATCTTCAAGGCGACGTCACAGAGTTGAGGGTATTCCTGCATCAATGCTGCCCAGAATGATGAAAGAGGGCAGGAGGTAAAGAGTTCCTTCAACCTACTGTCACTCTTCAGCTCAATAAGCTGTTCCTGCATATCGATTAACAGCTCGTTTGCTGTGCACACAAATTAAACCCATTTCACAAGTGGAGCTACTTGCTGAACGCTAGCAGCTAGGCCAAGCTCACGGCCCGTCATTGCCCGCGCACCATCCGTGCATAGGCCAACGCATCGGTCCCAAGCCAAACCATTTTCAACATCAAGGACATTGAAGATGGCATCTCCTGTAGTGTGCAACTGAAAAGGCCGGCAAAACAGGACATCCTCCTCAATCGCCTTGTCCCGCAGATACCTGACATAAGTGAGGAGCTGTGCCTGCCCAGCAGTATCAGTGGATTCGTCCAGCTGCAGCGCGTAGTAAGGACTCTTTTTTAAGAGCTCTGTCAGTTGCTCTCTGATATCATTAGACATGTCTGAAATTCTCCTAGCAACTGTGTCATTGGACAGTGGTACTGCACCGAGTTTGGCTGCTGCACTATCTCCTATCATTTTTCTTTATTATTATTATATTATGCTTTCTTTTAAAATATTCAGCCAGTTTATCCTTAATGCCAGCATGCTTTGTTTCAAGGTGCCTTTTTAGTTTGCAGGGCTTCATGCTGTCGTTTGCCAGCACCTCGGCACACACGACAAACTGAGGTCTCAGATCAGCCGTGACTGTAAACCCAAATTGCAGGTATGCTTCATCGTACCTTCGAAGCTTTTTTGCAGCTGGTGGTGCGTCTTGTTGGTCCTCACTAGAAATCTCTCCATTTTTGTTTGGTTTTGAAATAATTTGGATGTGGATAAGTTGTGTTTTCAATAAAGTTTAGGCTATAATGTAACGATGTGTGCGTGTGTGTGGCTATGTTGAGAGACTAGTATCGGGGGCTAATCAGTTGGGACTTAGGCACGATCTTTAATACAACAAACAAAATAACGATTTTACAGGCAATGCAGATTTTATTTTAAGACTTAACGATTGTAGTCCTTTGAGTGTGTGTGTGTGTGTGTGTGTGTGTGTGTGTTGCAACACTGTGAAAAAGGCAGAGGGGTAGTTAGCTAAGTGGACTGCCTAGCAGTTAAAAAATAAAGTCTTTAAAAAGACTGTTTGTGGGATTAGTCTTTAAAAAGACTTTCGGTTTT